ATAAATAGTTTGTCCAAAAAGGAAACACTGGACAATTGAGGAGAAATCAAAATTCATGAATTTCATTTGAGCAGAATACTACAAAGTGATATAATAACTGACAGTTCACAAATTGATAGTGTGTTCCGAATTTCACATTTCTTAGTTCAGAGTAGCATAGAACATTTTAGAGAATTTGCTGTTCTTATTGGTTGATTTATATTTGGAATTTAGATTTTACATTTCATTAAACTGTTTTACATTTTGCTATTGTCAGTTGTGTCTTTCCAAAATTTATTTACAGGTACACCTGCTATTTAGAATTGTCATCTTCTGCATGTTTCATCAAATTTTTTATAATTACTTTCAAAAGCAGTGATAGTTTTACGTCAAATACTCACTATCAACAGTATATGTCGCACACTGAACACTAAGCCATGCGCAGAGAGGCGAGAGAACCGTTTGTCCGAGATATGACCAGCGCCTGGGTTAGAGTGAGGAGAAAGGGAAGCCAAACATGCTGGCACCGTTATGCGTTACGTTACCAAGCGGTTTAGCCTCCCATAAAAAGTTATCACTTCAATAATCAACATATTACGAACGTAATCTTGTAGTATAATAGCTATGACTATCAATTACAGGAGAAGCATGTCTTGTTCCGAAATTCACATTTCTTAGTTCGGTGTAGCATAGAACATTTTACAGAAATTGCTGTTCTCATTGGTTAATTTATATTTGGAATTTAGATTTTACATTTTGCTATTGTCAGTTGTGACTTTCCAAAATGTATTTACAGGTACACCTGCTATTTAGAATTGTCATCTTCTGCCTGTTTCATCAAATTTTTATAATCGCTTTCAAAAGCAGTGATAGTTTGTCCGAGATATGACCAGCGCCTGGGTTAGAGTGAGGAGAAAGGGAAGCCAGCGGTTTACCGTCCCATAAAAAGTTATCACTTCAATAATCAACATATTACGAACATAATCTTGTAGTATAATAGCTATGACTATCTATCAATTACAGGAGAAGCATGTCTTGCTCTTATTTCTCTTGAATCAAAAGTCGACAATATCGCCGAACAAAAATTCCTAATCTAACCCCCTATAATTAAAAAGAATATTAGAACTGATTGAAAACATTTTACAAATCGGCATACATAAATCGGCGGTTTATAAACAGAGAATTATATCAATTATCCAAAAATTCAATGAATAATTGAGAATATAAATTAGAAAGCAGAAGAAAATACAAAATTGTCTCAAGAATGACCAATCCATTACACCAAAATCGATAACCACAAACATTTTTCGTTTAAACGATTACACCAAGTAAAATTCAGGTTATCGAATTACTTTTAAATTGTTTTTATGATATCATTATATGTGAATAAATAGGAGACTAAAATCAATTGTTAAAATGTGATTAAAAATTTTATTTCTCTCGATTTATTGCATTTACTTAAGGTGGTTGAACCTTGATAATACTGACCTGAAAATATACAAAACTTACTTATTACATATAGGAACTAATAAAAACACTAAATATTTGTGGAACATAGTTCGGGAGCCACAATAAACCTTTATGGGTTGCGGTGGAGGGTTGAATAGACCCACTCACTTCTGAATTTCACAGTTCATTACCCATATTGAGTCATGTCTGAAAAGAAAATTCCCACAGGAAACATATCCTTTTACGGCAATAGCGTAGCCTTACACTAAGAAAGTAGTCCGCACAACAAATAGTGAACAACGAAGTGACAGAACGAACATAACTTTCACCTACAAAAGACTCATGAAAGGAGCCCCTAATTCTACCAACCAAAATTTCATTAATATCTACAATGAGGTCAACAATGATTTCGTAATTAAACACTTCGTTTTAACAGAAAATCACACTACATTAACACAAAAACTTAAATATATCTAGGTTTCTAGAACATGACTTCCACTGAAACGAATCCAAAGTTTCAAAGGAAAATATCGTCAGTTCGAGTACTGTGTCAATCACAAAGGTAATTATAAATGAGTAATAAGTTCACAAAAGCTATGAATCAGGTGAATCTTTGAAAAAATCTGCGAATGAAGAAAGTCGTAATGCTAATAATACGTGATGAAACCAGATATAACAATGGTGACCAAACAATTTTGTTAACATCCGCCGGGAAAACAAAAGAGCAGAAAATATTAGCAGAAATAACAAATTAATTAAATACGGATCTGAGTTCATCAATTGAAAGTGTCAAATGCAGTCTTTCCCTTGAAGTAAAATACAGTTCATTTGTTTCGATTTTTATATGGTTTTTTATTATATTTTGCTGTAAAAAATCCTGCAATATCTCTAAAGGAAATCATTAATTTTCCAATGTGAAATGAAAGCGTTTGAACTGAAAATGAAATATTGATGACAGCTAGTCAAAGAGGTTTCATAATCTGATATTGAAACTTACGAGTTCCTTACTTAGTTTCAAAAATAAAATTGAAATATAGTTTTAATAATAAATGAAGTTGGTTCAATAACAATTTTTGATGTTTTTCATATACGGAGACAATAGGACAAGTTTTTGTCAATACATCCCGTACATATTATACATAACAATATTTCTCGTTGACATATTTGTTGCTGATTTGCTGATAATATTTTCCTGATTTCTCACGTACAGGTTAATCTCTGTGGTTTCCCCAAATTTAATTATAATACAGCACATAAAATCCTTTTTGTAGGCAAATTTATATGAATGTCAATAAATTATTAGTATTTCTCATGTAGCTTCATTAGATATTCTACAGAAAATCACCGGAAAAATACCATTCCCATTTTGATGTCTCTTTCAAAAGCAATAGACCTCCGAAACTCGATCTAATTTCAAAACTATTTCATAATTTTCAATTGGATGAAAGAATATAGAATCACGTCAAATAAATAAGCCTGGGTTCACTCTGACGACTGGAAAATACCAAAGGTAGAATTAAGCAAGTTGAAAAGTCAACACATCAAAAATTAAACGATATTATTAAAAAAAATAATTTCATTTATATAATGATAAAAGTTCATTGAAAAAATATTGCTCTACTTCATGAACAATCCCTCAAATGACCCAAAGTCTCTTTTGACGAGGATAAATGCTGACTTTTTCCCACGATTAGTCTGACGTGGTTCATTTACAAAATTTTCGAAATTGGATAATTGTTCTCTAACATCTCACGCCATCATAAATTCAATTTGAATTTTTTCTTTCGTTCCGGATTGTATTGTTCCATAATAACAAGAAATTGAATTAAATTACACGTTGTTAAGGACCGAACGTGTGAGATTTTGAATAATGCGTTTTGCTACTGAATCATATCGGAAAGATCATAATACCAATAATATATTAGTATAATTATATTCAAAGATATTCAGTTCTGAAATGAATCAAGAATGTTTAGAATGAGTACAATATTTGACCCGCTCAGAAATGTCGAATAGCCTAAAAAGTTATGAAGAGGAAAATGTATTTTAGACAAAACGTTCAAAAACTTGAATAGCAAAACGTCAGCATCAAAATATTGCATTTTTCGATCTACCCTGGGCGAAGAAGAATGATTAGCGAAAGGCTTTGTAACCTAGAGGTCTTTCGTTCAATTGGTGACACCTCAATTTTTCTTTTTATTTTTTCAAATGACTTGTATGATATCCTTTTTGGTTTTTTTTCGGTGTCATAGGCGTCGATTGCTATGGTCATTAGCCACATGCTCTGGGTAGACAATCGGAATCAACGCAACTTTAACCACAAAAAATCTCTCAAGAAAAATATTTGGTCGAATTTGGGATCGAACCCACGATCTCTGGATCTGACGCACTACAACTTGTGTCATTTCATCGCTCAGTGTTTGTTACATCTGCATTTACTGTTGGCTAGGTTTCATTTGGTTCCATAATGAAAATTTTACTGTGAGGTTATTATATGCTCTAAAAGTAGATTTACAAGATATCGTCTTTGAACTATGATGAAAAGCATGTGGATTCCGCAGTTATTAGTGGAAATCAACAGTTCTAATGAATCACAAGCAGTAGAATTTTTGATGAGTTCAACTAATTCTAGGTTAGGTTAGGTCCTTGCGCAATTCGCAAGGGTTTATTGTATCTCACACCTATTCACATTCGACCAAATAAACCCAGCTTCTTAGTTTGTATGGCGAGTGGTCTTTCAGGTCAGATGGTGAGAGTATGGCTCTGCCGAACTCTAAAAACCTGATTCAGTCCACAGCGGGGCAGGCACAAAGTATGTGGTCTGCTGTTTCATCATTTTCCAAACAGAGGACACACACTGTCTTCCGACAGTCCGAGTCTCTGCATATTGATTCAAATGACAGTGACCTGTAAGAAGGCCTGTTAGGCATCGTAGTTGATCCCTATTGTAGTCCAACAACTGTTTGGTATCAAGCTTCGAAGGGTGAATAAACGGCTTGGATTGAGCCAATCCTGGAAGATTCTGCCAGAAGTCCATAAATCTTGCCATTCAGCTGATCAATCTTTGTTTGGCAAAGCCTAAAGCGATGCTAATGACAGGTTCTGGTCCGATGAAGCTGCTTGCAGCACCATCCTTTGCAAAGGAGTCAGCAGCCTCATTGCCTTCCAGGCCAGTATGGCCTGGAAGTATGGAAGTATGCCAGACCAGAGACAGGCCAGTATGGCCAGGAATCCAGACCAGAGACAATCTGTGTAGTCTTCCTACCGAGGAGAGTCGTTTTTGGCAATTTTCTACCAATTTAGACGTTGCTTTCAACACCGCAAGTCTTTAAAAAACTGAAAACTTGATAAAGAACCAACGACAACCATTAAAACTCGAAACTTGTACGAGCGAAGGATTATCGAGGTCTTACCTGTTGACGTTCCATCGAGAATTGTAATAAGTTGATAGAACGGAGATGTATTTGCAAATATAAGCGTTTCAATAACTACATAACTGCATAATTTTCCCAGACCTTCGTTTCTGATTGATCTTCGAATTAAATCCTTACATTCTATAGATATAATCTTACCTTGTGTTTACCAATATTTTCTCTTGTAGGAGAAGGTCTTGTGATAGATATTCTTGTGGTAGCTCTTCCAGGAACATTTCTTTGCAATTTTTCAACATTGTAAGTCTGTCTCCACCCGAACAATTGAACTATTTTTTCAGCTACTTCTGTACACTTTGGTCCACCATTTATGGTTTGGCAGGTTTCGAACATTTCACATCACGTTGTTTTAGGAACTCACAATTTAAAATTTGTCAGTCTGTTTTATAGAATTTCAGATGTAAACACTGTTGAGAAAAATGAGTAAAAAGTTTTTCAAGTATTGAGAAATTTGTTATTCACTCTGACCTTTCTGTAAATACCGAGTATTATAAAAACATCGATTACATTTGCCGTTTTGAAATGTTTGCTTGAACAAACAAGCAAACAAAATACATCTTTTTCCAGAATTTCCTCCCGAATGAAGTTGGAGATAAATTTGAAAGTGAGGAAACAATATCTATTTTCAATAAAGATTCTCCCAAACATCTCAACAGCAATTTCAAATTTTTAAACAAAGTAACGATACAAAAAATATGCACAGACATGCAAAGACACTTCAGACGTGAAAATGTTTATGAACACGTGAGAAATTTCAATCCATTATAAATTTACAAAACAAGCATGAACTTTCAATTTATGTTTGAGATAAATGTCAATGCACTTCGAGCAATGCGAAATTATTAGAAAACAATTGCGTAAAAATTGCTACCGGTATTTGGGTCAAGTTTGAATTATCCCAGTAAGAACAAAACGAAGTTGATAATTGTAATGGACTTTACTTGTTACGTATTCGCAGTAATAAAACAAAGAATCTTATTCAGGTTCAGCACATTTTGCAATTTTCTTTGGGTGTGAGTGAACATTGAAGAATTATTATTAATTTTTTTATATCAAATATTTGTAATGATCTTAACAGACACTTTGAGTACAACATTGCAAAATAACAGTAAATGATTTCTAACGGTGTACTGTAAATGAAACATTATTTATACAGAATGATACATATCCTCAAATGCGATAGTGTTAACACTAGAAGAGATGATGATGGCCTTAATACTGCATATTTCAATTTGATAAGTAAAATACCGAAATAATTTACCCTTTTTTCATTCTTTTTCTTTCATTGATTAAACAGATACCACCTTATCAGAATCTCAGATAAAGCCATTCGTTTGTTTCATATCGTTTTGTGTTGGTGTTGTCTCGGAAACTTTGATTGTTTTGCAATGTCTTTATTTTATTCTTAATATGTATCTAAATAATATGTCTGATAGTTTTTAAAATAGTAATATCATCAACACGAAAAAACTACTTTTCGGTGAGTAATTTAATTAAGAACTCATTATTTCTTGTGAAACAGAAACGATAATAATCGTATAAGTTTTGTGGAAGGTATGTTTATGAAAATTCATTGTTACAGAGCCCTGAAGAAGAATTTAATTAAATTCGACACGTCGGCAAGAAAACAATTGGTTTCTTTAAGAAAAAAATTGTTCCTGTTACTCAACCAACCTTTTTTCAGAAAAATTAACACTAAACTCGTTAACTGATTATTTATACAGCATATCATGATTGAGCAATGAAGAATTCCGAAATGTCAGTTTACCAGTTCATACATAAATTCTTCATTGCCATCCAAAGTCGAAAATACACTATATGACTTGTGGTTTCAGTAGAGATTTCTTCTAGACTGCCCTGCCACCCAGATTTGAATCCTATTGAATTAGTATGGGCATCACTAAAACAATACGTGCGACAAAATGAAATCTTTTCATGTTAACAATGTCCAACAATTATTTGCAACTTTTTTTGAAAAATTCAGTGCTGAACAGTGGAAGAAACGCTGTGGTCAAGCTAAAAAGTGGAAAAAAATTCTTGGAAGCTCTTAGAATGAGATTCTCATCCAACGCGTTCAGTGCTGTAGTATCGAAGGATTTGACGGTACCACGAACATCGGATTAGTTATAATAAACGGTCGAAAATTGATATTTGCAGTTACAACTGATCATTAGCTGCATCCATACCGTAGTGATGAGTTCTATTACTCAAGAAATATATCCCGGAGATTTAATCATATCTCATCGCTGCGTAACGAATAAGAATTTTAATTATCAACGATGCATTATTAATAAGAGTTATTATTGTACAATTTAATTCACGCAGCCACTGGTTTCTGAACACACTCATTGCTGTATTAGCATAAGTTACGTGAAAATTGAATTGAAACCGTTATGGCTCCATGCCATACTGCTTGAATAACGCTATTATTTTGTGACAAATTGTGGGATACATACGGAAACTGCTGGAACCTGAAATGCATTTTTAAGAGTGTCATCTGCGTAAGTACCGTTAACACTAGTAAAATGTTCGTATGGTAAACATGGTTGTAAAAGTATTAAGTATTCACTGTTTCAGTTTGTGAGATACTGGAATTGTTCATAATGCAGCAAGTGAACCTCAAATGTTCTGCAAAACTATATATGAGAAGGCTCAGAAATACCACCATCAAATAATTGTTTTGCTTCTTCCTAATGTTCGAAATAAAATTATCAAGGTTGATTCGATGGTCTCTGATCGCAGTAGTCCAAGTACAGTGAAATGTACAGAATAAAAAACGTGTGCGTCTCGAGACGCCCCACCGAAGTGATAACATAAACTAATCCAAGTTGAACTACTTAATATCGACATGGCGTTTACGCAGTTATTTTCATTAAGTACTTTTCATGGTTACTCACATTTTGTCTTCGATCGAGGACCGCCTGCCCGGTACTGACGATGCCCAACAGTGTGAAACAGCTGTCTACTGGTGGCTTTTAAATTCAAACCAATATGGGAAAGTTCAGAAAAGTACTTATCTATTATTTTTCAGCAGTTTGCATTAACCTTTCTCGATTCAATATCATTTCTAGAAATATGTGGATTCGTTTTCCAACGGCAATCCAGAATAGCTTCCCAAATTTCTGCTACCGCAGTGCTTGGTTAATTGGTCAAACCATCAACACTGACATAAAAACTTGGTAAGTTGACTTGGGTGTCACACCAATAGGTGGTTCCACTTATGTCTCGCTTGAGTTTACGCAGTTATTTTTACTAAGTATTTTTCTTCAATCAAGGATCGTGCTTGAATATTCAAGCACGAGGAAAAATGAAAACACAAATCGAAAGGCTAGATGTACTGATCAAAATGTGTTCAGAAAACTGTCCGCCACTGACCAGAATGCTTGAAAATGCCGACCATTATCCTACCACCAAGAAACGCTGCTGTGGTTATTCTCTTAAAAGCTCCTTATGGCAGTTAGGATTTAAAGATACTCTGGTACCCAATCATCTTTCAGAAGTATCGGTGGTTTACCAGTAGGCCATCGACCAAAATCATTCAGTAAACGACTTCATATATATTATAATAGAACACATATCGATCAAAAACACTCCTCCAGACAGATTCACATTTGCCTATTTTTTCATTCATCCTAGATACATTTCATAACTTAAGAATGTAAGATTTCATCAACGAAACAATGTACAATTAAAGTTTCTAAAATAATTGCATATATCATACCGGTAGTTTTGTAATAAAATACACGAATTCCAGCATTTTACAAGCCGTGAAGTAATGAGAATTATTAATTTACTATCGGAAACCATTGATGATTAGAAGTATTTAAAAAATGTGAATTTAAAGGAGTTTGGGGCAATTATTGAATTATTATTGAATTATTCAATAATTGCCAAATGAGACACACGAGTGAATAGTTTTGTTGGAACATACATTTGAAAACTACTGTTTTCGAATATTCATTAATTTGCACCTTGAATATTACTGGAGTTTTATCCCAACACCAAACCGTTATTTTGACACCTCGACACGTGTTTCGATCACCGAGTGATCGGTTTGGTGTTGGGATAAAACTTCAGTAATATTCATTACTACACCAAAGGTCTCAAACAGTGCATCCCAAATCTGCACCTTCTTTGAAAAGTGTAACTTGAGAAGAAACATTCAAGTTCACAACGTTATTTTCATCTATATTTATTGACTTTTTAATATATATTCGTTAACTAATTAACTGCACGTACTTTTTGAAGAACATTTCACTCTCATTCTTGAAAATAGTAGGCCATGACGAATCGGACGTGACTAATGAAAAATAAATTGAATGCACCATTCATGTAGCTCTCGCCATGTCTAAGTATCACACACATTTTTATGAAAATGAAAGAAAAAGGATTCATCACTTTCTGACGTACTCTTTTATTTTGTTGACTTATAGTTAAAAGAAGCAAATTAATTTAGTTTCATTTAGGTATCAAATACTTAGATTTAAACAAAATTGATCCAATTCAATATATATTTCCACATACTGAAATGCAGATTTGGAGAGTATTATTTTCATTCAAGTAGTGAAATATAATTATACATATATATTTAGAGACTAAGTGGCACTGATAAAATTGAATATTTCAAAAACATATAGTAAGTATAAATAATTAGATGGCTACTAAACAAATCTAGAAATAAAAAAACAACACTGTTCGTTATCATATTCATTCATCTTTGGGTACTGACTTATAGACATTGGTTCTGACTGCTTTCAGAAATTGTATTGAATAAATTCAAATCAATTCTTCGGTTGTTATTTCAAAANGCACGACAGCGTGTATCCGGTGCCATTCAATACTCTGTATATGGTGGCAAAAACTCGAATTCATCAAATATATCAACGGTATGTTCAGTTGTAACTATTCTCTACGCTGATTGAATTTTTTGCCAGATTGAAGTTAAAAAAACATCTTCATTTTTCATTCTGAGACATCTAGAACACATCTACAAGTCGCCAGTTTTACTTCTTTGAAACTTCTTTGAAACAGTTTCGGCCGGTGAATTCCCATTCGAAAGTAGAATTTGAAAATTGAAAACTAACAAAGCTCCCAATAATTCTGTTTGAACAGTGAGCTTATATTCAGCATTATTTTTTCAAACTCACCTAATTAATATTATCATTATTTTTTACCCAAAAATTTTGCGATACTGGGAAGACCATAAGCCAGTTATGGAAGATTTACTCAAAAAAGTAAAAGAATAACTGGTTATTGAATAAATGCTGAATTGAGAACAAAATACGAGAAAAATTTCAAATAACAACACTTTTAATATTCAAATATGTACTTATAAACTACGAATAAATTATCAAAAATATACACACACTAGTAAACGAAAATAACCTTAAAACTCTTCGTGTTTGTGA